CCAGTCCAACCCCCTGCACACGCAAGGTCACCTAGAGCACGTGGCACAGGGCTGTGTCCAAGCGGGTTTTGAAGATCTCCAGAGAAGGAGACTCCACAACCTCTCTGGGCAGCCTGTTCCAGTGCTCTGTCACCCTCACGGGTCAAGAATCTTTTTCCTGAAGCTCTTGTGGAACTTTAGGTGCTTCAGTTTTTGGCCACTTCCTCTAGTTCTGTCAGTGGCCACCACTGAAAAGAGATTGGCCCCATCCTCTTCACTCCCTCCCTTGAGGGAAAGGTCACAAACACCCTCTCCTGGCTCCTTTTTCCCTTGCAAAAGGGGCAAGGCAGGGCAGCATCCGCAGCTCCATCTTTCCTTGCAGAAGGCCAGGTCCTTGCTAAGACCAACTTGAAGCTGGAGGAAATGGAGTCATCTCAGCCGAGGAGTTAAATGCAGAGCCCAGGGCCGCATCCTGGCCGGGGTACATGGAGCAGCTGGTGACCCTGGCAGAGCTTGAAAGGCTCCGCTCCACCAGGCAGCGGAGATAGGGGGAGCAGGGAAACTTCCAAGGCCTGGCTGCTGCCTGCCGGTCCCTCGACACCCGGCCACCGAAACAGCCGCCCGCTGCCTGCCAGCCTGTCCCCAACTGGTGTCACCGGCAGCAGGACACGGGGCCCATCCGTGTCCCTTAGCTGGGCACGGCCGGTCTAAGACAGCAGCGAGCGCTGTTGGAATCGCTCTGGGGCACCAGAGTGGTGCAGGAACCGCACTGGGCCTCGCGATGCCGGGTCTCTGCCGCCCGGCACCGCGTTCCCTTCTCCCCGTGTCCTTTAAGCAAAGCCCTGCGCCGTTTGCAGCACGGTGCTGCACGCTGTGCAGGGGAATTTAATCACCGTCATTAAGCGCACAACAGCATCATTAGGGAGAATGAGGTTCTCACTTCACTGGAGATGTTTAAAGCCTCTGCCCGGGTGGTGCTGGTGAGGGGAGCACCAGGCATGGGGGAAGGCACAGGGGACCTATAGACCCGGCATCTCCCAGCGCCGGGACGTGCTGGTGCCGTGTCCTGCTGCAGGCAGGAGGATGCTGCCCATCCGTGTCCGTGCGGAGCGAAGGGCAGCCCCGGGAAGCTGCAGCAGAGGAGCAGGCACCGGGTGCGGGACGGCCGCGTTAGTCTTGTCACCGGGCACTCGCTTCGTCTGTTTTCCATGGAGCTACCCCTCAAATCAGCAAAGTGCGGAGCTGGGATACGCCTGGCTGCTTTGGCAGGAGGGACGCATCAGCCTGGGCTCCCCTGGCCACACACGAGGCCCGGGTGTCCCCCCTGGCACACACAGGATGGGACCTGGCTGGGGACAGTCGTTCTGGGGAGGGCTCCGGGGACACGCGAGTCTTGCAGCCCTGACCCACTTGCAGATGCTCCGCGGGGGCCCGCGCCGCACGCGGGCGGTAATTGCCCAGCTGCAGCGGTGCTCTTCCAAAGCCGTTTGCAGTGAAATTGCAAACTCATTATTTTAATTATGTGCAGCCTTCCTGTGCTAATGAAGTTGGGAGCTTGGTAATGTGGCTTAGTGACTGGTTTCCCCGCTAATTAAATGCACTGTGCTCTGCTGGGGCCGCGCTCGGCCCGGCGCCCCGGGACGGCAGCGCGCGATGGGGACCCCGCGGCCCCCGTGCCGCGGTGGGAGCCGCCGCAGGGCTGCGAGCGGACCCGGGAGCTGCAGGGAGATGGACGGGATGCATGGGGGGTTTGCACGGAGCCTGCACGGTTGTAGGGCCCTGCATGGGATCATGGCTTGGGGCTTTTGCAGGTTATCACATCCAGGTGTTTCCCAACTGGCGCAGCACCGAGCTGAGACCGTGCACGAGCTGTGACACCCATGGGGGACAGGTGAGCGCAAAGCAAGGAGCAGGAGGTGCCCAGCAAGGTGGGCACCCCGGCGTGCCGGTGCCGCCTCAGTCCTTTGCCAGCCCCGGGGATGGCAGCTCAGCCCGCTCCCCGGCGC